AGTGAAGCAGAAAGAAGAGGCCAGACCATGTCTTCCTATGCGAGGGTCCTTGCTGCAGCAAGCGAGCAATAGTTCACAACTATACTCCAGAGTTTGTAACTCCCTTCCCACTTCCTTCAACCATGGTGTAGCCCCTCAGGGCTGAGTCCTTAACCTGGGACCCATGGGTAGATTTTAGTATCCCTGACAATGTATGTTCCTATACCTACTTTCCTCAAGAGTCTGGGAAGCAAAATAGGCTAAAAATGACTCCTTAGATTTGGGTAAATGCAGAAAGAAAAGAATCATCTGAAAGCAGAGGAGCAGAGACAGATGGAGACAGAGGGAGAGACGGGGAAAGGAGAGGAAGGGCTCACAGGCGGATTTTATACAAGGGCAGGACCATCAATGAGGAATGGGTCCTCAGTAGGCAACATTTTTTTACGAGGCAGCTTGTCTGGTCTCCCACCCTCTGGCCAGACTGACGGCACAAGAATAAGGTCATCTCTAGAGCTCTTTTATCTCAGGATACTACAAAGAAAACAGAGGATTCTGAAAAACTGAACCCATAGCACATAATCTATCATTAACTTAAGCATCAGTATGAATGCTGAAAGCCAGTACTAACATACTCAGTGTGGTGGCAGGATACCCACCCCTCCCAGGACAGCAGTTGTTTAGCCCTTCATTCTGGGGCTAGCGGAGGGTCTCTGCTCTTGGTTCCGAGATCACAGAACCCTGAATGTACCTTGTCCTCCTCTACAGTTCTTTCTGGTCACATCCCATTTTGGTCAGCCCAGCCACTTTCTTGCATTATCTGCATTAATGGGTATATCAATGACAGAAAAATCTGTCTCCTTGTCTGGATGTACTTGAAATTCAGTGTTGAAAGAACAGAGATGCCCTGCTACAGCTAAGAGAATGTTGTCAACTGCATTTCTAGTGCTTTAGCTATTTCTGTTTCTAGTTGTCATTCCTAAATCTGTGAATTGCAGAAGCACTTGAGGTACAAGTCTCTTCCAAAGCAAGCTCACTCTGCAAAATGCCCTCCGCTGGTCACCACTCTTTGGCAAATCACCGTGGTCCTGGTGCTGAGGGAGTCTGATTCCTTGCCACTGGCCTCTCCAGGTATGTGGTAAAAAGTCACCTCCTGGGATACCTGAAACATGGAAGGAATATCTTCCCCATTACTGAGATCAGTGACTGGGGACCCGCAGCTAGACTGAACCTGCTCCCTGTCCCTGGGAAACTGACTATCAGAATAGGCACAAGGGTCAAGGACTCTTCAGGGATTTTTTAAGTTGAGAAAGGCTTACTTTTTTTTTTAAAGATTAAAAAATCTTTAGATTTTTAGATTAAAGTTAGGACCCGTGCTAACATCTGTCTCCAATCTTTTTTTTTTTCTGCTGCTTCTTCTCCCAAAGCCCCCCAGGACATAGTTGTATATTCTAGTTGTAAGCCCTTCTGGTTGTGCTATGTGGGACACCACCTCAGCATGGCCTGATGAGTGGTGCCATGTCCGCACCCAGGATCAGAACGGTGAAACCCTTGGCCAGCGAAGCAGAGCCCAGGAACTTAACGACTTGGCTATGGGGCCAGCCCCAGGCTTACTTTTTATAAACAGCAAATGTTTTCAAAAGAGAGATTTACTTAATGAAAGTTCATTCTTTTCCCCTGAGTTCTTGGTAGATTTGAATATGTAAAAATGGGCCTGGAGCCTTCTTGAGGGGAGGGCGGGGCAGGGTTGGAGCCAGCTGAGTTCCTCTGCCTGGAGAAGTCCAATAGCTGGGAATGTGAGGTGTAATGAGGCCATAGAAATATCCCAAAATATCCCTTAGGTAGATTAACCCACGACATTTAAAAAACAGGGAGGACTAATATTCCATTTCACATTATTTGTGTTATTATAGTATTACCCCACGCTCTCCCTAAACACGCACTCACCTCTGTCTCCTGCAAATCATGCAGTTTCCTGCATACTCACTAGCTTGACTAAATATGGAAATCAAGGACACAGCTGAATTCCTATTCTGGGGAACAGTGTTGCAGAGGTAGAAGAAACAGTCCATAAATTGCATAGGTATAACAGTAGCAGAAGATGGAGCTAGAGGTGATGAGAGTGATGCCACCTCCTCCCCTCTGTCTACCTGGAAATTCCCCAAATTCATTTTGAAGGTTTTGGCATACCAGGAAACACAGACTATGGCTTTGAGCCTATTGTAAGGGGCAAGGAGTCTACAGCTGATGATTCACAATGACCTGTCTTCAGCCCTGACCTTAGACCCAATTGTCTACACAATTTCTCCTCTTAGATATCTAATAGGTAACTCCAATTTAAAATGGCCAAAAACCAAACTCAACTCCACCCCCTAAATATGCTCCTCCCTTAATCTTCCTCATCTCAGTTAACAGCCCCATATCCACTCAGTTGCTCAAGTCCCAAATTGTGAGTCATCCTTGATTCCTCTTTCTCTCATCCTCCACATCCAGGCCATCAGCAAGCCTTATCAGCCCAGTCTCCAAGACATATTCCAAGTCTGGACATTTCTCACCTTCTCCATACATTTTCATTGACCCCACCCAAGTATCAGCCACCATTCCTCCCCTGAACTAGTGCAAGAACCTCCTAACTAGTCATCCCACCACTGCTCTGGGCTCCAATGGCCTTTTTTCTACACAGCAGCAGCAGCCAGATTGAGGTGTATGTGTGTGTCTAAATCAGAGCACGCCACTCTGCCCTTTAAGGTCGTCCACAGCTTCCCATTGCAATGCAGACTCCTCCCCATGGTCTATAGGTCCCGACACGACCTGGCCCTGCTCTCCTCTCTGACCTCATTTCCTTCATTCTTCCTCCACTCATGGGACGTCATACCCACTGGTCCCCTTCTTCACATACTCACACATACGCACACACACACACACACACACCCCCATGCTCCATCTCATCTCAGAGCCTTTGTACTTGCTATTCTTCTGCCTAGAATGCTTTTCTCCTAAATTTTTGCAGAGCTGCAGCAAACTTCTACCCTCCAGTCACTCTCTACACTCTACCTTGTTTTATCTCCTAATTACACTTATTTGTTGTTTTATCAGATACTTTTCATCTTTATCTCCCCATTAGAATGTAAGCTCCCTGAAGGGAGACACTCTTATCTCCACCTCCTAGAACAGTACCTGGCACAGAATAGTGCTCAATAAAACATTGTGGAATGACGCATCTGAGTTTCACTTCTTTCCTGCTTCCCCTCTATCCAAGGCCACCCAAAACTGCGGCAGCTGCTAAACGCCTCACTCCTTAGAGTTCTGTCATTATCAGTTCCCCCTAAGTCAGGTACAATGGACCACGTGTATGTGCATATGCCCTGGGGTCTCCCCTGGGAAAGGCAGAGGCCTCTGGAGCTGGCAGGGGCCCTAGGAAAATTCACACCAGAGGGAACTTTCATTCTTACCAAGTATCTGATTTTGTCCTTTTTCATAATCTCATTGACGTTTTCTTTTCTCTTCAGACCTTTCCCCAAAGTTTCACTTTTAGTCACTAACCAGAATGACTGAAAAATTCACTTATTCATTTACCAATTCCATGTTGCTTACTGACTTCTGAAAACTGACATAAATAGCCTTGTGTGTGTGTGTGTGCACGCGTGTGTGTGTACAGCAGATGATGAGGGCCTTGCCTTGTTTCGGGTGGTTGAAATGCTTGTGTTCTGACAGCTCGTGATGCACATTCATGAGCCTGCAAACTGTAGGAATAGCTCTTGCAGTGAAAGGATGTTGCACATGTTTTCTTCATATAATACAGAATTTGTATTTGTTCTTAGCAAATACCTGTAAATACCTAGTTCAACAGATTCTGTGGCTGAAATGTTCAAAAATACAACTGAAATGCCACTGAACTCTAAATGGCTGACAGCATGCGTAAATATTTGTTGTTTTATTTACACATACACATACACATACACATACACATACACATAGCTTGAATAAATTAAGTAATAACCTCCCTGGGCCCCAAGAGAGTGTTCTTCATTTTCTTGTTATGCCAGAAAGGTGTTTACTGTGGCTAAGGGAGGTCCTGTCTCCCATAATCCCTAGGTGATCCCCCATCTCAGCTTAGAGGTGATGTTTCTCCTGGAACAAGCCCCACATCATTTCCTGCATCTCCCCTAAGATCTGGAGTATGCAAGGACACCCACAGCTCTCCCAGCACCAGACCAGGGGAATGAGGAGAGACTCAAAGATAAAGGAGGAAAGGAGGGAAAGAAAAATTGGTAAGAGGAAAAGGATAAAGGGGTAAATGTGGCTGATTCTTCCCTCCCCTGATTCCAGCCAGAAGAAGGCAGCCTGAAGGCCCTTCAATTAACTTCCCCTTAACATTTGCCAAGGAAAAAAATGCATTTCACTTAGATATGCTTCTGTTGTCTGCATGGTTTGCTTTGTCTAAGGAAAAAAAGAAGCAGGGAAGGAATTATAAAGTAAAAAAAAATTTCTTGCTTTTATTCTTGAATGCTAGTTTTTTTGTTTTTTGAGGAAGATTAGCCCTGAGCTAACATCCACCACCAATCCTCCTCTTTTTGCTGAGGAAGATTGGCCCTGAGCTAACATGTGTGCCCATCTTCCTCTATTTTACATGTGGGACACCTGCCACAGCATGGCTTAATAAGCAGTGCATAGGTCCATGCCTGGTATCTGAACTGGTGAACCTGGGGCTGCCCAAGTGGAGCACGTGAACTTAAAACACTCTTCCACCAGGCCGACCCCGCTTTTATTCTTAAAAAAGGGAATATGAGAGGACACAGATGTGTCATAAAAGAGTCTATTTTCCTGCAATCACTAATATCCTACACTAACGTATCTGGGTAGCAGAGGAGATGGAGCCATAGAGATGGAGCGCCAATCTTTCTCTCTGTGAGGACACAGCAGGAAGAAAGCCATCTGCAAGTCAGGAAGAGAGCTCTCACCAGGAACTGAATCTGCCAGCACCTTGATCTTGGATCTCCCAGCCTTCAGAACTGTGAGAAATAGATATCTGCTGTTTAAGCCACCCAGTCTGTGGTGTTTTGTTATGGCAACCTGAGCTGACTAAGACAGGGTTTTACTTGAATCTGTCTAGCAGATACTTCCTGAGCATCTCCAGGCACTGTTCCAAGGCTGTGGATAGAGCAGGGATAAAGCAGCTGAAGTTCCGCCTTCAGGGGACTTTGATTCCAGTGAGGAGACCTGCCACAGACAACAAACAAGTAAATAAACATGTGCATTGTAGGCAGTGATAAGAGCCATGAAGAAAACACAACAGGGCAAGGCAATGCAGGGTGGCTGGGGAGGGCCTGCTTGAGATCCGGTGGGGTTGTCAGAGGAGGCTTTCTGGGGAGGGAATGTTTGAGCTGAATAGGGAAGAGCCAACTAGGAGATAACCTGGTGAAATAAGTTCCAAGCACAGGGAACCAAGGTGTGAGCACTGTGCCAGGTAAGACCTTATCATTACCTCTGAGTTCCAGCAGGCAAAGAATAGACTTGAGATAGACTTGAGTATTAATATCCAGAAGTAGAAGGAAGAGATACACAGCAAGAAAATTCATATAGGAAGCTTCAGATTCTGAATACCAATGAACTAACAATGGTCTCAGGATGACCTACTCCACACAAGTCCTCCCCTGTATTTGCTGCATCATCGTTATCCACCATCCACACAACGTGTAACATCCGTACAGCATTATGATGTTCATCACAGCCTCCAAGGCAGTTTTATTAGATTAGCGGGGTACATTTGTTACAATTAACAAACCAAGGTCGATAAATTATTACTAACTAAAGTCCATACTTTATTCAGATTTCTAATGTCTTTTTTGTGTTCTAGGATCCCATCCAGGACACCACATTATATTCAGTCACATCTCCTTAGGCTCTTCTTGTCTACAACAGTTTCTCAGACTTTCCTTGTTTTTGCTGACCAGTTTTGAGGAGTAGTACTCAGGTATTTTGTAGAATATCTCTCAACTGGGATTTGTCTGATGTTTTTCTCATGATTAGACTGAAGTTATGGGTTACTGGAAGAAAGACCACAGAGGCAAAGTGCCATTTTCTTCACACCCTATGAAGGGTACATACTATCAACATGGTTTATCACTATTGATGTTGACCTTGATCCCTTGGCTGAGGTTCCAAGTTATTTTTGATTCCTCACCCTGTCTCTCATCCCTGGCATCCTACCAGTCACCAGGTTTCACCTAATATAGATCCCAGGGGTCTCTCCCAGACGCTACTCCTCATTAGCATTATCCCTACAGCCTCAAGTCTAAGCTCCCATTCCCTTCTCAGCATCCTGAGCCACCCCTTCAAAGCTGTCTTTCTAAAACAAAGCTCTAGTCATATTCAGTCTCTGCTCAAATAACCCCACTTAGGAACAAAAGCTTTGTTTTAGTTGCAAGATAAATTCTAAGTGTTCCAGCATCGTGTTTAGGTCTTTTTCTCAATCTAACTACAAGCTACTTTCCTGTTTCTTCTCCTGCCCTGAGCTCTGGGTACAGATCACTCCCCTGCTCATTCCTTCGTCCATGCCACGTGGGTTACTGTTTATTAAGCTTCTATTCCGTGACAGTCAGCGTTCTAGGCTCTGGAATACAAAAACCGCTAAGAAAAGTTTTCCTACACTAGAGGAGTGTGCTGTAGTTAGAGTGACAAGCATTGTATTTAGATAATCGCTGGGTTGAGAGGTAGTGCTAGGTGTTAATTTAGGCAAGTACAAATTACAAAGAAAGCATCTAGGCCAAAGCCCCTCATGGTGGCTCCATACTTAGGGGAGATTACACAAGGGAAGTGATAGCTGAGCAAAGACTTGAAGAAAGAAAAAGTTTCACCAAGTGGGCAAGACGCCAAGAGAATGTCTAGGCAGAGGGCACATCATGTACTGGGTAAGCCATGGCCATTAAGCAAGTTAATGTGGAAGGATTTGCAAAACATGCATAGGAGCTAGATTGTGACAAAAACAACAAAGCAACTTGGATGTAAACCCACAGGACAGTGCTTTCAAGCTGTGGGTTTTGAAATCAATTTTGTGAGTCCTTGACTATCATTATTTCAAAGTGAAATAGAATAGAGCAGAAAAAATTAGTTTTGTGAACATTTTGTTTCTGTTACTTCATACGTAAATCTTTGTATGTCCTGGTTTGCAATGTAAACTATGTTTCTTACTAGAAATCACCTTGAAATAAGTTTTTAAAAACACTGCTATATGGAGGTCTTGCAAGGATATGTAGCAGTGACGTGTGTTCCAACAATATTTCTCAAACTTCCCGGATGATAATTCAGGTCCTTTTTTAGAAACACAGATTCCTGGGCCCCAACCCAGACTCAGAGAATCAGAATGCCCAGGGGGAAGCCTGGTAATCTGCATTTGTAATAAGCACCCAGGTATTTCTTATGAAGGAAGCTTGGGAACACCGACACTCTGACAGCAGAATAGGAAGTAGACTAGGAGGAGAAGAAACTCGAGGCAGGAAGAGCAGTTAGAAGACAATTGCTATTGTTTGAGAGATGGCAAGTCTTGAAGCAAGGCCAGAGCAGTGGGGAAACGAGGAGGTGGCGGCTTCAGGAGACCTGTAGAAGGCAACTGTCAGATGTGGATGTGCAGGACATAGGGGCACCTAGATTTCCAAGGTTTTGTATCATGGATGCCTGCGTAGACACTGGGAGTAGGAAAGAAAGAGTAGGTTTCGGGGAAAGAGAATGAGTTCAGTTTTTGGACATGTTGAATTTGTGGTGAAATCCATAATGAAGAGTAGGTATTTGGACATACAGTTCTGGAGCTCAGGATAGAGGTCAAAGCTGGAGATAAGAATTTCTGAATCATTAGCATGTAGGTTAGAACATGAAATATGAGATTCTCCAGGAAAGCGGGTGGGGTCTGCGGGGCAAAGGGTAACGTGGAGGGCTTCAGCACTTACTGCTCATCCTCATCCATCTTCAGCCTCATGTTGTTTGCTCATGTCCTTTCCCCATGTCCTTTCCCACCATGAGATGTCCCTTCCCCCAATCCCTTTCTCTGCCTAACATAATCTTATCAAACATTATCTCTCTACCTCTTACTGCCCCAGATGGACTTAACTCCAGCACTGCCCACAGTATCTTTGTACTCTCCTCTACCATATCTCCAATTATTTTGGGTTAGGGTTTGTGTTGTCCCATTTTCCTTTTTCTCCTGTTAGAGGCAGAAACGAGTCTGGATTCCCAGCACCTAGCATAGAGTAGGTGCTCAATAAATGTGTGTGACATTGTGGTGAAGACTTAAGGATAATTCATTAATTTGGACTTCAACTTCCAGTGTTTAAATTGTAAATGAATCTACTCAAACAATAGCTACCAAACTATTATAAATTATCGCTGATGATATTTCCTGACACGGTACCATCTGGTTTTTGTCTTCCTATTTCTAGTTCAAGGTTCTCACATTTTATTTTAACAATAGCTACTCAAACTTATCTTTTTCATAGTGTTGCATAGCACAGAAAGGGCATGCATTAAAGTCATGAGTGATAGATTAAGGTTCATTTCATCTTAATATCTGAAGTATTTTGGGCCAAATTACTTATGTATTCTTTGATCAGAAACAGTGTGTACCTTGCGCAACCCCCAAATTAGTTATTTCATTAAAAAAACATTTTATTATGATAAATTTTCAAACATATACAATAGTAGAAAGAATATTAATAAACCTCCTTGTGCCCATTACCCACTTCAATAATTATCAACCAGGGCCATCTCTACTGCCCTCCTCATTGCATATTATTTTGAAGCAAATCCCAGAAAGCACGTCATTTCATCATAAAAGAGAAAACTTAAAATATATATATACCATTATTACACCTAAAAAAATTAAAAATAGTTCCTACATCATCAAATATTCAGTCACTATTAAAATTATCAATTGTTTCATAAATGTAATTTCCTTAACAGTTTGAACAAATTAAGATCTCAATAAGGTCCACACATTGCCATTGGCTAAAATGCCTTTTGAGTCTCTTTTCATCTACACGTTTCCCCCCATCTTTTTTTCTTTCTTGCAAATTATTTATTGAAGAAATAGAGTCATCTGTCCTGTAGAGTTTCCCACAGTCTGGCTTTTTGTATCCCCACAGTGTAGTGTAACATGTTCCTCTGTCCTCTGTATTTTCTGAAATTGGTAGTTGGAATGAGAAGCTTGATGAGACTCGGAATTTTTGGCAGGACTTTCTCATGGGAGGTGGTGTGTTTCTCCTTCGATCAGGAGGTGAACATTGTTTGGTTGCCTCTCTTTGTTATGTTAGCAATCAGTCATGCTCAAGGTCTGGATCCATTAGTTCTTCTTCAGGGGTTGCAGAAAGGTGGTATTCCAATTTTACCATTCCTTTGTCATTTAGCAGCTGGAATACTTCTATAAGGAGGAGCTTCACCTCATGTATTGCTCAGTTACTCAGGGATATAGTTCACATAGGAAATATAGAAAAAATCATAGAATTTATTTACCAATTTTCTTATCAATAATAAACTCCTTCTTAATCATCTTCTAAACATGACCAATTTTTTGAGCATCATTATTATCCCCAATGATGCTCGCATTGTCACATCTTTGGCCGGTGGAAGCTTTCTTTAGGTTGGTACTCAAGTCCTTTCGGAACGACCCTGGTAGTCTTCAATAGCTTCCTCGCTATCCATATGACAAGATGCTTCAAGTTCTCTCGTTCATTTTCTGCCCCAGACCTTGAATCAGCCTGTCTCCTTTTAAGGGGAGATAGTATTTTAAGACCTGCATCAGGGCTCTTGGGGTGCTCAATGCACCTTAGTTGGTTTGACATTGACTGAAGTTTTAAATTTCTCAGACATACTGGTAGCTAACAGCACTGGCTCCAGCGGTAGACTGGCTGGGTTTGAATCACTGCTCTATCACTTATTAGGTATGTGACATTGGGCCAGGTTATCAACCTAGCTGTGCTTCAGCTTCCTCAATTGCAAAATGAGGATAACATTACCTAAATTCACAAGATCCTGGTGAGATTTGAATGAGGTATTTCATGTAAAGCACTGAGCCTGGCACACAGGGCTGTGTAAGGCTTGGCTCTCATTATTCCTATTACTAGTCTCTTTCCAGCCTTGTCATCATTGCCTGCTCACACTGTGGGTCATCTGGTATGCAATACAGACTTACATTTTATTCACATCTAGTGACACATTGATTTATTTTTAAA